TAGTGTGTGCAGCAGAAAACTTGGTTGCAATATTTGGTTGGATTTAATGTTTGAAGTTTAAAGGTATTGTGGAGGAGATTTTTTTAAAAGACCCGCCCTCTCCACTCGTGAGAAAACATGAACAAGCCCATTTCTCCTTATGCACGCTCTGTTTTAAAGATGCTGTTCTAGTAGCTCATACAAACTCTCTGTGCCCTAACCCCTAAATCCCTCAATCCCTATATAGAGTGCGGACTATATAGTGGACCATATAGTGGACTTTAAGCGGTGATCATCTGTCTGATGACAGATGATCACTTTTTGCTCCCCGTTGGTCATGTAAATTCTCCTCCACTGCACGGTGCCTGCGCCATCTTTGTTATTAGCCGCTGCTGTCTGGTAGCAACATCCACTGTGACAGCATGTCCCATAATACCTTGCAAGGAGAGCTCTCCGCTTCACCCAGAAATAAAAGATTCTCTCTATGCCTTTTAAATGTTTTTTTTTTATTCCCTACTAAAATTTTGTTCGGATTTAATTCTGTTTCGGCAGAAATGGAATGTTTATAATTCTGTGATCTGCATGCTAACTGCTAGTCTGCTTCCATTTTTTGCAGCAACAAACCTACTTTAAGTGTACTACTACCACCTTAAGGGTTGGAGTGAGAAAGTAGTGTCTCACTCTGGTTAAGTGGTGCGGTGATTGTTCGAGACCTTTTCCCTGTGTCTTTCCCCCTGTGTTAGTCTCATTTGCTGTCTGATAACTTTCATAAATCATGATCTGTTTCATTTATTTTCCAATAAAAGCAAAAAACGAGGGTAAAACACATTAAATAGAGCTAACAATTAGGAGTGAAACAATTAATTGGATTAATTGATTATTTAAATAATCAACTAATTTAGCAATCGATTAATCTAAAACATACGTTTAGCGGACAGAGCAACTGACTTAGAGCAGTAATTATACTAAAATTGTAAAGACAAAGTATACAAAGATATTGCGTCTCAGAGATCTAGAACTCCGCCAGGAGAAAGTTTTTAGTTTCGGCTGGTTTAAATTCTGTAAAAAAAATAAAATCTGCTTTAAGGAACCTTTTCAGGTCCGATTCTTAATAAAATAAAAACAATCAGGTTAGATCAGATTAATCAATTAACAAAATAAATGTTAAATTCCTACTAACACTAGATAATCTATATGTAAGCATTAGTGAAGGTCAACATAGTTCATAACATGCAAAGTGAACCTAAAGCCAAGAGAAACAGAAAAGAAGACATAAAATAAAACACAAGCAATCCCTCCTCAATCACTGCCAGAAACCATTCTGCATTAATTCAGGTAGATTGTGCTGTCAAAGAGATTGGAAAGGTCTCATAATCCTATTAAATGTAGCTTTTTTTTTATTGTTGAAGCGAGAATCCAATTTTTCTCCAAGACAAGACATGATGTCATCCAGACTGAGCGTAAGTAGGCGCAGAGGCCTTTCTACAACAGAGTGGTTGTAGTATCAGTGCCTAATCGTACTTCCAATACACAACGTTTCAGAAACTGAAATATCTCTCTCCAATATTTGTTAAAAAAGCAAAAGTGGAACATGTGGATGAGGGATGGTTCAGCATGTTTGCATCTCTCATAGTGCATGATTCATGGAGAATAATTTCAATTTAAAGATGGGAGCTCTTTAAATTGGATTAGATATTGTCCAGCACATTAAAAAGTAGAGCTTGCACGGCTAAATATGGAGTTCCAGAAGTCTTCTAAGACAAGGGCGAGACTAGATCATCTTTACAAGCAGATTTAAGTAGAAAAGAGGAGGCATGCTGCAGATCAAATAGTGTGCTTAAAATAAGCAATATAGGTTTTGGTTTTATTTGTCGGGGTTCAAAGAAAAGGAAAAAAAAAATACTATCAACAATAATCATGTCTCTTGAATACCTTACTTTGGAAATAATAAACAATATAAAGGCTAGGGGTTACTGAAAAAAAAACAAAAAAAAAAAAAAAGGAAAATGGACAAAAATCAAGTGTCTCTTCAATGTGGTTCTTTTTATTGTGTCTATTTTGCAAGCACAATTAATTGTCCAGCCTTAATCTTGTTTAAATGGATTCATTATATCCGGCAGCTCTATCTGGAGTGTAAAATTCTTTTTTTCTTTCTGAAAATCTTTTGCAATGTGTGATATTTTAATTATGCAGAGTTATAATAACTTATTTAATCAAGTATTGCTGCTCTAAAGCCTGATCTATCTTAGCTAGTTCTATTAATTTAAAGAGTTTTATTATTTTCGCTTTCACAAATAAATCTCTGTATGAAAATATCTCAATTCAAAGCTATGTTTAAAATGACAGTTGTTGGCTCCTCTGGTAAAAATGTTTAAAAACCTGAACATAAAGTCATATTTAATGAGCTAGCACCAGCCATATAGGTAACATCAGCCTGTAATGTTATAACAAAAAATGTTAAGTTCTAAAAAATATTTTTGATGCAATATTTGTCAGAATATTATATTCCAAGGGCCGTGTATTAACCTTCATTATTCTAACAATATGTGTGATGTGTTGGATGGGCTTAATGCCAGCACTACATGTATATTTATAGGTGCCTAGATCTTTAATTCTCCTAAATAGTGATGGAGACATTGGTGTGAGGATGGGGCGGGAAAACATGGGTTTTAACTGTCATTTTTTTTACTGGATCCAATGTTATTGGCAGCCGTTGCTGTCAATATTCCATGCAGTCTTATTTTGTTCCTGTTTAAAGAAGTTTGGTGTTCTATGTTTAAATTGGGTCGGTGCCATCAACCTATTCATCGGTTTTCCATCACTCTAATCCAGGGCTGGCTGGTGTTTTCTCCGGGAGGGGCTATAAATTAAAAGTAGACGTATACCAAAAGCCAATCAAATGAAGTATATTTATATAAATATACCAGTATATTTATATGAATGCCAACAACAAAGAATATTATAAAAACACTTTCTAAAAACAAAACCTAATTTCATGTACAGGTTTACTTTTCATACATAAATGTTGCCCGTCTGAGGCGTTGTGAAGATAAATATATGTTTTCCATGGTCCAATATTGTGTAACAAACCTAAAAAAAAAAAAATGTACCAGTTCAATAATGGATAAGCTATTAGTCAGCTTTATATTCTTTTAATATATTGAAAACTATTTATTTTCTGAGAATATAGATATGTTTATTTAAGAGCAACTATGCAAATTGACAAACACCTAGAAAAAGTGCACTATATTATATTATTTTACATGTAAATCCCAGATTGTTTATTCTTTGCCCTTTCTAAAAAGTGCTTTAAATCAGTCCTACCTCTCTTTATCCATGCTGGGTCAGATTCTGACGTTTGAAAAAGGAGGCAGGGAAAGCAGAATAAAGTGTTAGCCTCGCTACATGCAGTTAGCCAAGCCCTCTTTCTAAACTAGGTCTAAACTGCGCAATTTCTCTCTCTCTCTCCAATCCGTCTCCCAACTCCCGCAACTCTCGTTATACGCAATACGTCTGCGCTGTGGCGGGAGGTGGTGAGCAAATACACTTCCTGCCACCTCAGGGCGCACCAGAGCTGCCCCCTGAGCTCTCCTATACCTTTGTATTGCAGAGCAGCTACTGCGTATCTACAACTTTTAACGAGAGTCAAGGGGCAAAGCAGAAACCAGCCAGGAATCTAACCCGGAACCTTCTTGCTACAAGGCAACAGTGCTACCCACTTTAGGTCGTTGCTGCACTGAAAAAAATTGAAATCTAAATAAGTAATTTTTTTCTTAAAATAAGTATATTTTGTCTTGCAATGAGGAGGTAAGTGAGACAGTTTTCCAATGGAATATGACAATTTTCATTTAGAATAAGAATATGTAATTGCATTCTCTGATTTCAAGTTCATATTATCTCATTATACTCACCTACTCAAATTAGGAATAACCAACCTTAATTGAAGATTTTTTTTTTTTACTTAATTCTATATCTTTCTTTTGCAGTGTGTGGAGTTTTTCTTTACTTTATCCTTTTTGATCAGAGGTTAATTCACTTTACAGCTGCTGAAATGCAACACAAAATGGACACATTTCCCCAACTATATAACAGCCAATTATGAGTGTTATTATACAAGCATCATCAACAACTGCTGTTTTTGATTTTGTCTGCTTATAATTAAGATTTTATATCATCAATCTCCATGACAGAAATACACAATTATATACTTGATCATTACCAAGGTAGCAACAGAAACCATATGAGGTGGACTCTCAACTTTGTATTTTTGTTTTGTTTTGTCTTTTGTTTCTAATTCTTGATCAGTGCAACTCTCCGACAATATTGCCCCAAATATAGTATTTCACATCAACATAATCTTGTTTTTCCTGCCCCCCAAAAAAACTCAGGTTAAAGCAAGCTCAGATATTTATAGAGGGGAATATTCAGACTTTTCCCGTCCCTGGACAGGAGCATTAATGTGAATATTCACTTATACGTTCTCCTTCTCACTCCACAGATTTCCCGGTAGATATGGGTTTGTGGACTGGTTGAACAAATGTAATGAAGAAAATAGAGATTGAGATGACAGATTTTAAAAGCATTGAGCTTGTGTTGATGCATCAGTTACTGACTGACTATTTGCCTCCATTTTCAGATAATCCAGTATCAGACGGTGCGATATGACATTTTGCCCCTGTCACCTATATCCAGAAACAGACTCAGTAAGTATACATTTGTTTTCATTCATCTCTCTCTCCCTCTCTCTGCAAAATCATACTGTGATGACGAGGAAGCATGTAGAAAATCACCTCAATTAAAAAGAGAAAGTTAAAAAAATAAGAAAAAACGGATTGCCTCATTTTTTGCATTGTCTCTAGTCTGGATACCACAGAGTGGACTGACAATCAACACAATTCTACCGAGCAAAAGTTAAACCAGTTTGTCAAGAATAAAATAGTTGTGCTCAAAGATGTTCAGCACTTCCTTGCCTCATACTATGTGATCACCACTTTATTTTAGCCCAGGGTTTAGTCCTGACATCATGCATGCTTTTTCCTCATCAGGAGACTCAAAACAGTGTAGCTTTGTCCTGTAAAGCAGTGTTGTGAGAGTTTACCAAAAGATTATGAATTTATTAAATGACTGGAACTGGAAGTTATAGTTAATTAATATGTCATTCCAATCAAGGGTACAACTAATTAATTATCAGTTGAATGATTATAACTGTAATTTGCTTACTGACCAGGGTTTTTTTGCCTCTTACCTAAAGGGTTGGACTCCTGAATCCGGCTGTTAAAAATTCAGTTGTCTTTCACCAATTTAGTAATTTAGACTTTGGCTATCAGCAATGTTATTAATCACCAACCAAATAAAGGTGTCTCTGTTCATTCAGATGCTACTAAAATAGAGTAAATCCAGCCTTAGTGATAAATGGTTCACTGTGTAAAATAAACACAAAAGACTGCGAGTTAAAATACAATGGAACCTTTATTAGCTACAATCACACTGTAAACACTACTGAAAATAAGCAAAATAAATAAATAAAAGGGAAGAGGGGGTTAAAAGTCTAAAGAATGTTCAAAGTTTAAGACTTAATGCATTTGAAAGTGTCCTTTAGAAATAGCAGCAGATAAAATGTGGATAAAACCTGATGTAAAGGTGTTAACTGGAGTCAAAACAGTAAAGTTTCAGTTTCATGGTGAAAAATGAATGACTCAGGAGTGCGTTAAACAGCAATGAGACTGAAATGGAAATGGGTTAGCTTCACTGTCCCCAGGGGTTCTGGTCTGGTCGGGTCCAACTGGAAAAAGAAAGAGTAGCTCACGATGTAGCCTCCACAGCGTTTTCAGCGTGAGGTAGCTGAAGCTACAATGCTAGCAGGTCCACTGCAGCAGTTAGCTTCAGAAACGCAAGACTCTTTCAGTCTGTTACTGTTTTGGTTCGGTGGAGTGAAGGCCTTCGGCTCTGTTTTCTGCAGGCCCCGTCTTCAGTCCAGTCCGTTCGTCCAACAGCACCTCAAAGAATTTTGGATCAATCCGATGCAATAATAAGAGGCGACTTTGCAAAAGGGTTTATTTTTTATAACTCAATGTAGCAGAGGCATCGTCCTTTTTAGCTACGGAGGTTAGCTTGTAGCCGCAGTCTTCAAACAGCAGTACCTCCTCGGTGCAGCTCCGTCTCTCTGTCTCAGGTAGTCAAGTGTCTGGCGGCTTTTAACAGCTCCTTCGGCAAACATTGATTGGGGACCCGTTGTTCAGCAGTTGGATTCAGGTTAGCAGAGCTGGATTCGCTTTTCTCTGTCTCTGCTGCAGCATGTTTCAGGGAACACTGCATTAAACTCGGTGTGCAGGAAGAATATATATAAAAAAAAAAACTGCATTCAGCTCCTTTTGAATCACAGGGAAAAGGCAGTCTGACTTGGTCCAGTGAGCGCAGACTTCTCCGGAGTGCTTTGGTTTCTACTTGGTGTAGCCTTCAGCTGGAAGTGCTCAGACTAGCGGCCTGGGGCCACCTGCAAAATAGGATGTTGAACAGGAAGTTACCTGTTTTAAAACCTCTGGCAGAGGGGTGTGTCTTCAGAGGGGAGAAGTTCTGGTTACATCAGCAACACTTGCTACCAACAGTAGATTTGACTTTCAATTCAATTAAATTCATTTATCCACACACATCATCTCAAGGCACTTTAAAGAGACATTTTAACCAGATTGTACATTCTAATTGGTTCAAAGTTTTATATCTAAGGAAACTTTGATTAGAAAACCTCTATGCTTTTCAGGCAACATATATGCTGTATTTTCCTCCTGATATGCTTCAGTAAATCATCACTCTTTCGTTTAGTCCTACTAGGCATTTCGGTTTCTGTTGACCTTAGAAAGTGAAAGTGATTCTGTATTCTCAGAGGAAATTATGCTGAAGAGCAAGAATAATTGTATTTACAGGGCTTTAAAATTACAGAGAGAAAACAATTTATTGCCTTTAGGTAAACATGGATAAGATGCTTTATTATTCTTTTATAATGCCACAAATATCCAAATTGTAGTTGACTTTGTGCAGTTGTACCATAAGCACAGGCTAAAAAAGGTCAACCATCTTTTGTGTGAACTACTATCCTCCCAGAACAAGTTTGACCAGTGAAATGACTGCTTACAGGTTTCAGAGCAGCTCTGCATGTTAAAGTGGAGGAAATAGCATGGATACAGGAAGCACTCAGATTAAAAACGACTCCTGATGGCGTAAGTTTGCTCTGAACTTCCCTCATGTCAGTGGAGAGCTCATTCAAGCCGGACATAGAGGACGGATTATATTTCAGCTGTGTCTGTCTTTAGCTGGAAACTCCAGTCCTTTTTTTTTTACAGCTGCTTTTCCAGAATTATATCTGCATTAAGAGATGGTGATTAAATCTTTAAGTGACCCTGATCTAAAGATGGTTTTTGATACTTTTAAGAGAAAATATGAATTTTGGAAAGTTTATCCCTAAATTGCAATGAAGAAAGTCCATTTCATTTAGTGGAGCTCTATAAAGGCCCGTATTATGTTCCCATTTTTTCCAGTCGTTATTTTTTCATATAGGTTTTAAGTAAACAGTCCTTAATGATTACAGACGTTTTCTGGATTTTTTTATTTTGTCTTTTTTTTTTTCAAAAGGTTCTGCAGCTGAAACAAGATGTTTAAATACACAGATAAAAAAAATACCTGTTTTCTTCTTCATCTCTTCTGTTAGATCAGTTTAGGATAAGAAGAATTACTATTCGCTCAGTGCTAGAATAATACGCTACAATTTACTATCTTTAAATCCAGAGGTTAACATACATTTTACTGGTATTTGGTAGAACTGTCATTTGAAATTACTACACAAATCTTTAAATTACTCCTGGAATTGAGGTCCATCAGCTTAACAGAGTTTGACCACATAAGGTTTGCAGACCACCTCACACATCACACTCAGCTCTGCACATCAACTTCCTGTAGGCCTGGGATTAAGAGTTTCCTATTGTTGTGCCAAAACATTGACTTTGTTAACCCTAAAGCCACTTTGTAAATGATTTAGTGGTGTTCTCTAGGTTAATATCCACATGGACGTCCGATTAATGCCCAACAATTATGCTCCCGGCTCATTTCTTGAGGTGCTGCTTTAATATATCTATTTTGTGTGGTGCACCTGTCCCTCTTGTTATAAAGCATCAAAACATGTTGCTGCCATTATTATAATTGGAGCATTTGTATGATTTTAGCCTCCTATTAGTAACCATGACTTCCTGTTTCCCTTGGGTATAAATAAAATGTGACAAAGTAGCTGGTTCTATGTGAAATTTGTTAAAATGAAAGACAAAAAGAAATTAATTAGACCACGGTGGCAAAAAACAAGCAGTCTGGACACATGGCCATTTTTTCATTTCCCAATAAATAAGGACAAAAGTTCAGGTTTAAGAACCAGTGTTTATCTTGTTAACTATACCGTTGTTGCGTACCAATTTTTCAGTGAAAGATAAATATACAGCAGTAAAGCATGGCCAGCTACAATCATCTCTCATGAAGTCTTACACCAAGACTAAAATATGTTGAAATGTTTAAATCTGTTAAACCTGGATCCTTCTTCTTCTGTTATAGATGCAGTAAAGAGGAAGATTCTGGTTCTGGATCTGGATGAGACGCTGATCCATTCTCACCACGACGGGGTCCTGAGGCCCACAGTTAGACCGGGCACGCCGCCAGACTTTATCCTCAAAGTAATGGCCGACAGTCACAAAAAAAAAAAAGAAAGCGACTGAATCTGAATCCTGTTTCTGTCCTAGTTAACTGGTCTGTGTGTTTGCTCCTCCATGCAGGTCGTCATAGACAAGCATCCGGTCAGATTCTTTGTACATAAAAGGCCGCACGTCGACTTCTTTTTAGAAGTGGTGAGTGTCCGCCAGTTTAATTGTATCTTTAGAGATAAAAAGCCACAATAATCCCTGCTATGTTAAACGTTGTTTGTTCTCATCTGATCTGCTGCCTGATGTCATAAGCTAATATTTATTTTGTTTATACTGCACATCCCTGACGACTCTAACTTGCCTGCTGTTGTGTGCTCTAAACGCTCTGTGTACACAGGTGAGCCAGTGGTATGAGCTGGTGGTTTTCACAGCCAGCATGGAGATCTATGGCTCAGCTGTTGCAGACAAGCTGGATAACAATAGGAACATCCTGAAACGCAGATACTACAGACAGGTATTGCTCAGTGCTGTATGTATTCATCGTAAATGTGTGATAAATCAAAAACTGGTGACTCTTCACTGTTCTATTTCTTTGGTTTTTTCCTCTCCCAGCACTGTACATTGGATCTAGGTAGTTATATTAAAGACCTGTCTGTAGTACATGATGACCTGTCCAGTATTGTTATCCTGGATAACTCGCCTGGTGCTTATCGAAGTCATCCAGGTAAGGCTTACTTTGAATTGATCAGCAATTATCATAAATTAAATGTTGTAAGAAAATTCATAAAATGTAGATTAGAATCATGAAAATTGACCATAAACACAGAAGTTCCCTCAGGCAGTAGTTCTCATAGTTCTGACGTTAATATGAAAGAAGGTGTGACAATGTGATCCTCATACTACAAACCGGATTCCAAAAAAGTTGGGACACTAAACAAATTGTGAATAAAAACTGAATGCAATGATGTGGAGGTTTCAAAAACAAATATTTTATTCAGAATAGAACACAAATCACAGATCAAAAGTTTAAACTGAGAGAATGTATCATTTTAAGGGAAAAATATGTTATTTCCAAATTTCATGGCATCAACAAATTCCAAAAAAGTTGGGACAAGGCCATTTTTACCACTGTGTGGCATTCCCCCTTCTTCTAATAACACTCAACAGACGTCTGGGGACAGAGGAGACCAGTTTCTCAAGTTTAGAAATAGGAACGCTCTCCCATTCATGTCTAATACAGGCCTCTAACTGTTCAATCGTCTTGGGCCTTCTTTGTTGCACCTCTTTATGATGCGCCAAATGTTCTCTATAGGTGAAAGATCTGGACTGCAGGCTGGCCGGATCCTTCTCCTACGTAGCCATGATGTTGTGATTGCTGCAGAATGTGGTCTGGCATTATCTTGTTGAAAAATGCAGGGTCTTCCCTGAAACAGATGACATCTAGATGGAAGCATATGTTGTTCTAGAACTTGAACATAGGTCTCTGCATTTATGGTGCCTTTCCAGACATGCATGCTGCCCATGCCACAAGCACTCATGCAACCATACCATCAGTGATGCAGGTTTCTCAACGGAGCATTGATAACAGCTTGGGTTATCCTTGTCCTCTCTGGTCCGGATGACACGGCGTCCCAGTGTTCCATAAAGAACTTCAAATCGTGACTCATCTGACCACAGAACAGTCTTCCATTTTGCCTCACTCCATTTTAAATGATCCCTGGCCCAGTGCAAACGGCTGAGCTTGTGGAGCTTGCTTAGAAATGGCTTCCTCTTTGCACTGTAGAGTTTCAGCTGGCAACGGCGGAAGGCACGGCGGATTGTCTTCACTGACAATGCTTTCTGGAAGTATTCCTGAGCCCATTCTGTTATTTCCTTGACAGTAGCATTCCCGTTTGAAGTGCAGTGACGTTTAAGGGCCCGGAGATCACAAGCATCCAGTAAAGTTTTGTGGCCTTGACCCTTACGCACAGCGACTGTTCCAGATTCTCTGAATCTTTTGATGATGATATGCACGGTTGATGATGATAACTTAAAAGTCTTTGCTGTTTTACGCTGGGCAACACCATCCTGGTATTGCTGCACTATCTTTCTGCTCAACAATGGTGGGATAGGTGATCCTTTTACCATCTTGGCTTCAGAGAGACACTGACACTCTGAGAGGCTCTTTTTATTCCCAATCCTGTTGTCAATTGGCATAATTAGTGTTAGTTGGTCTTCCAGCTGTTCGTTATATGCTCAATGTCCTTTTCCCAGCCACTTATGCTACGTGTCCCAACTTTTTTGGGATCTGTAGACACTGTGAAATTTTGCATCAACATATTTTTCCTTTAAAATGTTACATTTACTCAGATTAAACTTTTGAGCTGTCATCTATGTTCTATTACGAATAAAATATAGACATTTGCCATCTTCACATCATTGCATTCAGTTCTTATTCACAATTTGTTTAGTGTCCAAACTTTTTTGGAGTCTGGTTTGTATTATTATTATTTTTTTAAATAAACACCAGTTCTCTAAGGAAGGGGACTTTATGGCAATCTGCATGTGTACCATGTTTGCTTATGTTGCAAATTATGTATCTTATTATGTAACTTTTGTAAGAACAATTTAAAAAGCTTAAACCTAAAAATTGCTTCAATATGATTTTATCTTGTGTAAGAATTAAACTCTTATAATAACACTACAGAACTCTTATACTAAAGCTACAGAAAAAAAAAATAAATACATATATGTATGTGTGTGTATAAGATAAATAGTGAATAGTCCATCTCTAAGAGCACTAAATCTAAAGAGAAGCAATGCACTGGATTACCTGAAATTAAGTTAATTTAACAAAAGCCATGTCTGGCAGGAGGAAATGATGAGAGGAATGGAAGAGGAAGCTATTTTCATCCTTTTTATTGTGTTTGAAGCGTTTCTTCTCTCTCTTGCTACCCTTCCACTGGTTATGTATTATACTTTTTTTCCCCCCCATGGGAATATTGTACCAGCTTTTAACATAAATGGACATTGAATCTGTAATTGACCTAAAATATATAAACAGTTAATCAAATCAAAGTATGTTTTCAATATGTAACAAGACAGCAAATCAGGGCATGGTTATTTTTCTCTTTGCCTCTAAGCATAGATAAAAATTAAACATTTCAGATGGGAAGATTTTTTTTTTATGCATAATGAGCTACATGTTTATTTGATTGCATAACTGTGTCTAACCACGATCTCAGTGGTAAGCCTGAGCTGTAAAAATGATTATTCTAGACATTATTCCTCCGTCTGTTGGGTCTGACTGGCTGTTTTCTGCCCTACAGACAATGCAATACCAATCAAGTCCTGGTTCAGCGACCCTAGTGACACAGCACTTCTAAACTTGCTGCCTATGCTGGATGCACTAAGGTAATAGACACTTTGAACTTGTTAATGACTTTGCATACAATCCTATTTTAGTCCATGTCTTTGTTAATGGCTGACACAGTTAGGTTAAAAAATGCCTTTAACTTTTTTCTTTGTTACGTTACAAGCACAAACTACTGGATTGAGTGCAGGATTATGACAACAAAGGACTTTAATACTTTAAATAAAATGTGCAATAATTCTTACTGCAGTACAAGGAGTCCCGAGTTTTGAGTAACTTGATGAAAGAATAAATATGTGTTTATTAAAGGCCTCAGTAGATTTGTTAGTGTTGGTGTCCTGCAGCTTTTAGATGTAAATATGCTACAGCATACAAGAATCACATTAATAGGTCCTTAGCAGAACTCTGGGGAATCTGACTGCATTAGGAGGTTATTGAGCCATGATTTAAGTGTGTCAGAAATGTGCATATCTTAAACTGAAGTTTGCTGATGAAGATTCTCAGTCATCCAGTTCAAAGTCATTCCGTAAAAGTTTAAAAAACAATCCACTGGACTTGTTTTCCAAGATTTTAAGACGTTTCGCTACCTCTCCAGCTTCCTGGAGGGGAACCGAAATGTCTTCAAATCTAGGAAACCAAGTCCAGTGGATTGTTATTTAAACTTTTACGGAATATACAGAAGTTTGTTACACCTGATTGGACGGAAGCCATAAGATTGATATTTGAAACATTACAATGAGCCAAAACAATTGGATGATGAGGACCAAGGTTGAAACCTAGAATCCAAGTTTTGGTTTTAAAATGGCCCAGTCAAATTTCGGTTTCAGTGTTTGTGTCCTCTCAGTTGTTCCCTTATTTAGGGGTCACCACAGCGAGTTCCTTCCTGGCACTACTGGGATTCAAACTCTGGTTCCCCTACTTTCAGTTCAGTGATTTAAACCATATGGACTCTGAACGTGCAGCTCTAAATCAATTGAGAAGGTGTGAGAATACAAAAGGAATCCCTTTTGTCCCACCTCACTGTTTGCAAATGGTACTGGACAAAAACTTAAGTCCCTAGATGTACCAAGCTGGTAGCGACATACCTAAAGAGATGTGCAGGTGTAATTACCAAGAAAGGTTATTTTATAAATTAACGACTCTGTGCAGGTGACCATAAAGGGACGAAACCTTAGAAAGTCTCCAAAATGTCGAAAGTCTTCTGAGTCAAAGTGAAGATGGAGGAGGGGGGAGAACTAAATCCTTTAGCAATGTATGAATGCAGTTTTTGTATCGTTTACTTTAAGACTTCTTTAAATGTGCCTGTTGTTGCAGGTTCACCGCTGACGTTCGATCCGTCCTCAGTCGAAACCTCCACCAGCACCGACTCTGGTGATCGGCTACATGAAGAGACGTGGGGCTATTTCAGCAACGTCCTTCTCTCTGCCGGCCTCCATCCTGCCCTCCTTTCCCACTCAGACGACCCACCAGCCCTCTTAGATGTATACTGAGGACCAGGGGTGGTGGGGTGTGCGTCTAACCTGGGATGAACAGCACGGGATCATCAGAACCTAAAAACTACTGGGGAGGGAGAGGGAGTCGGCTGTTTTTTGTTTTGTTTTTTTGTGTCCTCCTTAAATCTTGATTTTTTTTTTTTTTTCTAAAACAAAAAACAGAGCCTCTCTGCCTTATAGCTCCTGATGCTGACTGTATGAGTACGGAGAGGAGCTTGTGTATGTGTGCTGGAGCTGGTTAGTCCTTTTTAAACTTTTTTCTGGGAAGACATGGGGGGCCTAAAGAAGCGGATCAGCGAAGCAACAAAGACAATTCGACATCATTATCTCTGCCTCCTCCATTATCATCATAACTTCAACATCCACCTCATCTTACCTTCACGGAGCAAATCAAGGGGGTAGCATAGAAAACGAAATGGGTTTGATTCATTTATAACTGAGGTACTATTTCCTTCTGCCCAATGAGAATGGATTTATTAAAAAAATAATTTGCTGGAGTTTTCTTTAAATAATACATCCACTGGCCTATTTTTCTGAACGGGTATTTTTTCCCTCCCATTCCGTTGGGATCTTCACTTTTTGCCCCAAAGCTCCTCATGGGACTCTGTGACATGAGACTGAAACATTGTGATAAGAGCAGATGGCTTGTTAATGATATGTGGACTGCAGTATTGCTTTTCCATATCTGATTGTTTTCAGCCGCCATTATATATGATAAGAATTAATTCTCCATAGAAGATGTTTTGCTTTCTCATTTAATGCCATCCTGATTTTGCCTAATAGAAAATTGCACTTAACCCTCCAAGTTTTTTTTTTTTTGTTTTGTTTTTGTTGCAGGTTTTCTTTTTATTTTCTGTTTTACAGCCTTCCGTGTTCTGTTTCCACCTTGGGTTGTATGGGTTCAGCTGTAAGACCCTCTTATCTTAAAAATGCCTTCTGAACAATGTCAGTTTCGTCAAAGCTCACAGCGGCTTCTTATTGGCTCTGTCTCCATGTCCATGTTACTAATAAAACACTTGTCAGTATCGAACAGCTACCTACGCAGCTTTGTTCCTTTTCACTATAATACAACCTTATAGTTCTATAGTTATTTTTAAAGTAAATTCTTCCACTGGCTGGATTTCAGTTGTATGATCTGCTGACACCATGTGTTCTAAACGGAAACTACACCTTTTATTCCATACGTAAGGATGGATGCTTAAGATAGATACTACTTCTCTGTTTTTTGTTCAGCAGGTACAACCCGATAAAAAAAATCTGTTGATTATTTGTATACCAGAGTTTTAAATGCATGGTCCCATCAGTCTTTGTTTCTGTATTTTGAAACAAAGCGGGATTCGGTTATACTCAGTTTATTCATGTAGCACTTCACAACACCAGTATCTGAGGGTACTTTACAAATGAAGTTCAATCAAACACAGGTTAGTTAAGTTTTCTGCCCAAGTAAACCAAGCTGACTGAATGGACTCATTGACGCTTTAGCAATCACATCAAGCATGCATGCAGCGACAGTAGAGAGGGAAAACTCAGTTTTAACTGGAAGAAACCTCCACCAGAGCCAGGCTTATTTTGAGTAACTTACGGAATCAGACACGCAAAATTAGCATAGACGTACTCATCTATAAATACTTTGTTAGAAAAGTTAACAAACTAGCTCTATATAGGACTCTAGGAGATAAACAGTGAAGGAAATTAGCTCTGAGCCAGTTTTCATGTCAAAAAGGATGAAAGGGAGCACATACAGTAAGTCACATTAAAAGCTGACCATATAGTTATGTCTAGGACAGAAACGGGACTGAATACTGAAAAAACAGCAACTCGATTGGAAGTTGTTTACAGCAGCAGCCGAGCTAATGACTTCCTTCAGGATTATGTAACTGCTGAATGAAGCCCCACACCAGATGTAGCTATCATAAGAAAAAAAAGTTTATTCACTAACAAATCGTACAGAATTGAAGTAGAAGAAGCAGATCCCCATGTCCTCCGGCAGCCTAAGCCTATAGCAGCATACCTACAGGGATGGGTCTGGATAACCTGATAACCTCATTTTATTGATGTCATCTCCGTGTGTATCCCAGTCTGTACCCTCAAAATAACTTTGCAGGGCTTCTTCAGCTTCCTGTGACCCTCTTCTTACAGTTCTTGTTAATTCAGGTTGTCTCTTATAAAGTGGCTTATACCCTGACAAAAAACAAGATTTTGATCCGATTTTCCAAGAAGCAGTCGTACTTCCGTGATGTAGAGGTGTCCTTGACATTTCCATAAAACAAGTACAAAGTTTAGTTTTCTGTGGTACAGCAAACTGTTGGAATGTTGGTAATGTAGCAGAGAGTTAGGTGTAATTAAAATCACCAGTTATTGCTAAAAGTGGATTCGGCTATTGTGTCCATAGCTAAGCAACAACAGAACTGATTACATCACATGCAGTATTGGCAACGGCAGAAGGTGGATTGTAAACTTTACTAAGAGAACACTGGTAAACTAGGCAAATAATATGGTTGAAAGCCAACAACCAACAGTTCAATATCTTGGATGCAGTGAATCTTCACAGTAACATGTCCTGGATGACACCATCTGTTATTCACAAGCACTGCCATCCCATCTCCTTTGAATTTTCCAGTCTTCTTTAAATCTCTATCTGCTCTTATGGTCAGAAAGCCTGAGAGATGCTGGAATCCGAGACATGATCTTGTAGCCACATTTCAGGAAAACGCAATGCTGCATTGCCGATTTTCTGGCTGGGATCTTGCTAGGGCTTGAAATTTTTGTTTCCTAAAGATCTCACATTGCCCATGATGATTGATGGAAGAAATTGTTTACATTTCTTGTTCCTCTATCATGGACTTGCTCTGGCTCTGCATCCCTGGTGCCTCCTTTTCAAGTCAGTTGGTACTTGCAGAATTAGTTGATGTATTATTTTAGCTTTAGTGATCTTAATTAGCTGCTCTTGGGTGTAAAAAAAAATCAACTTGCTATGGTTGCTGTGGTTACCTATCATAACGAGTATCCAAAAACAAGTAGACACAAAATAAGTAGCAACAAATGAAGAAACCAAAGTGCCCATAAAAAAGAATATCAGAGTCAAGCTAGCAGCGCTACTCCAATGTACAGCCACCTTAAGCAGCGCAATTCTACAACTTAAGTTGCTGAAGAAATAGTTTGAAATAAGCAAGAGATGCAGGAAACACTTGAAAAATCTCACAAAAGGATGCTGTAGCTGGCAACTACAAGTGTCGTATTGCTCCCAGGGCGCCACACAATGGCAGCCCACTGCTCCCAAAGGGAATGGGTTAAATGAAGAGGTAAATTTCTCCTATGTGAAATCAATAAAGTTCAATAATTATTATACTGTTTAGATAATTCAGGGGGATAAGAGTAGATATTAAAGGATATAATGTCCTAAATCTACATTCTACACTTTTTTTTTCATAAGTGAGAAAAAAAGTTTGCACCATTTCTAGGCTTTATCCCTTGTTCAAAATGATAAAAATGTAAACCCCCTGTAAGATAATAAATATAAGACTCTGGGTCAAATAGACCCCTTCTCTAGTTTGTACTCTCATTTCTGAAGAATGCACTGCTGTTTTGACTTTTCCTTCTTCAGTTTCTTAGCTCTAAATTAACTATTTCATACTCAAGGACTTGTACCACACGTCATCCTTTTATTCTTTGGGTAAAACATTTTTCAAATTATGGATATGGACATAGAAATCCAAATCTAATGTATAATATAAATGCATTCTATAAAGAATTGATTTACACCCATTTCCATTTATTTTGGTTCCTGCTCTAATTCAGACTACTTTATTTCTGAAAGATAAGATAGATTATGATTCTCCCTCTAAGTTGCTGGTCAAAATTCAATGTTTCAATTATAAAACATTTTCTTACAGAAGAGCACTAATGAATTGTAGGAATTGACTGTAAATCAAGATTGTAAAAGCATGTATGAAATGCTCCTGTGTGAGGTAGCCCAGTAGCCCAATGCTTAGTCTCTCAACCCAAGAAAGTTGGTTACAAAATAACCAAAACTGCAAAAGTTTACAAGGGTGGATAAGTGAGGAGCAGTTGATGTCCTTTGTCTTTTATTTACTGCATCACAGCTGACAATTCTGAATTATCAAAACATACCCCACAGTAAATAGACACACCACTTCGTAGACCTAAAACCTGCTAGATCCATGCTGTTTTGGTATTGTTAAAATATTTTAGATGTTAAACAAGCAAATTGTTGGAATTTTAAAAAGTAGATAAATTAATTAAATTATTACATAATTTTAATTTTGTCAAGGATAATTTAGGACACATTTATTAGGGCTGAGTGTTAAAGGAGACCAGAAATTAGTTCAGTAAACTAGACAAGCTCTATGTAAAGGAAAAAACCTTTTAGTATAAAACAGAATCACAAACCACATTTAATATAATATTGTTTAAGAAAGTGTTTTTATTATTTAATTTTTTCTATAATAAATATATTTTTAATCTTCTTTTTGTTTGTTTTACTATTATGTTAAGGCTTTTTAAATAACATCAGTGATGTTAACACTCTAATGTGTCTGGATATGAAACGATGAAAGAAAATCTAGTGCCTTTTTGGTGTTTCCTGTACGAGGGCCGCCTGTGGAGCTGGTTTACAGCTGCTTTTTTTTTTTTTTAATCACTGCTTCTGTCTCCTTGAACCCCAGTCGGCCGCGGTAGATGGCTGCTAACACTGAGCCTGGTTCTGCTAGAGGTTTATTCCTGTTCAATAAGAGTTTTTCCTCTCCACTATCACCACAAGCATGCTTGATGTGAGGGATTGCCTTCGAGTCATTAAGTCGACGCAAACAGCTGGTTTTCCTTAAATAGAAAACTTTGAATCAATTTGATAGGAGGATCTGGTTGAATTGTATAGTGCCTTGAGATGACGTGTTGTGAATTGGTGATATATAAATAAACTGAATTGAATCTTAGAATTATTTAAAGGCACAGGACAGGATGTTATGAGTAAATATTTGACACAAGGTTCTCATCCAGATATTTTAAGAACAGAAGGGATCAAATAACTATCAGGATCAAATCTTAAACTGTAAGTCTGGTTTTAACTAGATCAGTGGTTTCACTTTTAACCAACAATGGATTTTTTTTTTTTTTTTGAAAATCTCTTCTACCTGTCACAGGGAAGTCACATGAGCATGGTGAGTCATGGAAATTCCCTTTTGCATTAAGTTGACATAGGCTTTAAGAAATTGGCTTCAATAGTTGAAGTCTGGTTCTGACAAATATAATGAATCTTTTAATTTGATTAGTATTAAATAAAAAAAGGGTCTATAATGTAAGTTTCAAAAACCCAGTAACTGTCCATCACATTATTGCATCACTTAGGGCTTGTATTCATTTGAGCAAGTGTAGAAATAAGGAATGTTGGCAAAATATAATTAGGGCAGCAACTAACGATTATTTAGCAAATCAATGAATCTGTCAATAATTTTTTTGATGAATCGATAAATAATCGGGTTGCCAAAGGTTCCTTAAAGTAGATTTTTTTACCATATTAAAACAAGAGAAACGTTTCCATTTGAGGAGTTCTGGATAGAGAATATTGACAGACGTAATATATTTTATCTTAAATGCAAAATGTTTTAATATTTTCTTACAATTTTGATATACCTACTGCTCTAAGTGGGTCGCTCTGTCAGCTAAAGGCATGTTTGGCATGACATGGCTGTACTGTCAACAAATGAAGAGATGATTGTTTACTTATCTCTCTCGCATCCCAGTTACATAATTGTTTTTGTTATTATTAGGGCTGCAGCTAACGATTATTTTGCAAACTGATTAATCTGTCAATCATTTTTTTTCGATAAATAATCGGATAGCCAAAGATTCCCCAAAGGAGATTTTTTATGAACGCAAACCAGGTTAAACTAAAACTTTTCCACTTGAGAAGTCCTGGATAGAGCATATCGACAAAGGTATATATATATATATATATATATATATATATATATATATATATATATATATATATATATATATACATTTTCTTTTCTTTTTTTTTACCTTAAATGCAAAATGTTTATATATTTTTCACTATCTTGTTATAATCACAGCTCTAAATGGGTTGCTTATAAATAAAGACATGTTTTTGAGACTCTATACTCCAGTTAACGATTTATCGATTACTAAATTAGTTGATGATTATTTCAGTCAATTCATCAATCAATTAATCCGATTACATTGTTCAGCCCTATAATCCTTTAACAAGTTCACATATATTTAGAAGCCTGAATTGATTTTTAGAAGCCTGGAATAAAATTTTTATCTTCAATGCAAAATGTTTATATATATATATATATATATATATTTATTTATTTATTATTTATTTTTTTTTTACAATTTTGATATGATAACTGCTCTAAGTGGGTTGCTCTGTCAGCTAAAGGGAGGTTTTAGAGTATACTCCAGTTAATAATTAAATAATTGCTAAATTAATTGAAGATTATTTCAATAATATATTAATCACAATTAATCTAATTACTTCTTTCAGCTCTATATATAATACACCTTTTGCTGTAATGGCACCTTAATCAGCAAATTTTCAATTATAGAGCGTTTATTAAAATTTACTTTAGTAAAATCAAATAAGGAAGGAGTCGTTTAAATAAAATGCCTTTTATTCCTGACAGTTCACAGCGTAATTCATAATAAAACCAACAGTAAAAGGCGACAGGCAGGATGTTGTTGAAGTTTCCTCCTCTGCTGCTGCTGCTGCTGCTGTTGTTGTTGTTGGGCCTCGGTCATATGACAAGGACAGTCCACATCACCGCCCCGCCTCATGTCTATATGCGCGTTGGTTCACTAAAAATAAAATAGTACCTTGAAAAACTTTTCAGTGAACACAAAATCTCATTTAATTGTATCAAACCACAAAATTAATAGTTAAATTTTACTGACTGTCGGTTTTATTGGCAAGACGACATACTGAGTTACACCCTACGAACTAGATTCCTCTCATACGTCATTTTTGTTATTGTATCCCTGCGCCACTGGAAAAAAACTGCTGTGACGGGCTAAAGCTAGCTAGCATTGAGTGTGTTTGTGTCAGAGCTTCGAGTTGATTCTTTGAACGGTAAACACTAGTCGGTTTTAAACATTGAGTGGCCGACTTGTCGTCTGTCAACTCTTTCAACAATGAAGTTTCAATACAAAGAGGAGCATCCATTCGAGAAGAGGCGGTCTGAGGGCGAGAAAATAAGGAAGAAGTACCCGGACAGGGTTCCAGTAAGTGGCTAACATGGTAGCTTTACTGCTCCGTGTGACGGAGGACACGGGTGTATTTAAGATGTAGACCTTTTAAAGATGCGAATAAAAAAACAAAACATTTAATGGACAGACAAAGCGACTTAAACATATTTCTATTGGCAGCTAAGTCACTTTTTGACTGCCATGGTAGTAAACACGGTGGATAGCCTGAGACGATAAAGGTTATCTCAGTTAACAGGCCAGGTTGTCAAGCTAGCTTCCTGTAATTCCGCTTTATTTTCGTGTATTTATACTTTTAAATAATCATATCGCAGTAAAATTGCCAGTAAGCTAACATAGTTTATTTAAGTCTGAACTTTGTGTTTAATTAAGTATTTACATGTAAAGATTGTATTTTATTTTTTCTCATAAAAGGTATGTTAAAGCTTTTTTGTCTTTTTTGATATACATTAGGTTCTATTGTCTACTTGTCTGCTCTTTTTTAAACTAATCCTAACCGAACAGGAAGATCAGGTTAAAAGCTTCAGATGACCCTTAATAGATTATCCGGAATTTTACATTAGATCCTAAAGTCTAGTTTCTCATATCATTCTGGTGGCATGTAATAGTATATATATATATATATATATATATATATATATATATATATATATATATATATATGTAGACCAGTCCATTATTTAATGTCATATTTGACATATCGATTAAGTACAGTTTAGCTGCAGATGATAAATTTCTGTAGAATAATTAATAATTAAAGTTTTGCCAGGATAGGTTCTTGTGGGCTCTTTGGATTGGGGTGAAGAAAACATTTGAATTAACCGGACTTATGCTATACTTAGTATAACATGAAGCCAGGTACCAGATCACAGTGTGGTTGTCAAGTACTTGAGCTTCTGTTAAACAATTTATCATAAATCAAATATTAAGGTAACAAACAAGAAACGCACAAAAGTTATATTTGGTGAATAGTAGTTATTGTCAAAGAATACAAAAAAAGCATGTTTAGGTTATAAAATTACAAAATGTATGATTGCTTTAGAAATTGCTTGGGTATGTTTAGTAAACACTTCAATAAATGTTCAATAGTTTTTAAAAGTGTCAGTTAATTGAGTTATTCTCCTCTACTAGAGAATACAATGTTTTTAGCGTAAGAAACACCACAGGATGTAGCCTGCTTTAACAATCTAAGGGATTTTTTTAAAGTACTTTAAAATTTTGAATTTTTTTTCAAATCAGAAAAAAAAGCTTTATTTGTTTTGGTGATAAGCTGCTGCACAGACAAGCAGGCTTCTTAAAGAAGATATGCATACATATTCAACCTAGATTTTTTTTTTATATTACCTGAATTTTTGGTTTATTTCCATACATATAATTTTTTTTATAAGGAAGCTCTGCTTGTTTTTAGATTAACCAAATATTTTTAGAACAAAAACTTTTAACAATTAGCTGTTTTCTGTTAGCTATGTCACTAACCGGTACAAAGAAAGGATAGAAAACAACATTTTGGGTACTTCTATGGTATCAATGAAAGTTCTCAACTCTGTATCTCAAAAAAAGGACATAAAATGACTGCTTTCCTAAAACAGGGAAGCTAATAAACAAAGCTGCACATCCTGTGGTTTAAGCACAACTACAGCTACAAACTTTTAATTAACGTTCATTCTAACCACATCACACCCGCCGTGAAAAGCGAACTGCTTTCATCGAGTGTTATATATTTGGAGTCTTTCAAATAACTATTCTGTAGGGTGGATTTATTTATAATTAAACTTATTTAAGAATCAGTTGATGCCAGATTAAAAATATTTGGGATATTTTTGATAAATATGTCTCTTTCTGGTTGTCAACCTTAGCTACCGTCAACAACCTGTATTTAGATTATTTGAAACCTTGCCTGACCACATGTTTGGTCATTCTCAGATCCTTTTTTTTTTTTAAACCTGTGGTCAAAGTACTTTGTAAACACTCTGCTCAGTGGTGAAGTGATGATTCATTGATTAAGAACATGTTGTGCAAGTTATTTTTTTCCTTTGCTTCTTTAGGTTATTGTGGAAAAGGCTCCTAAAGCCAGAATAGGAGATCTGGATAAGAAGAAGTACCTTGTCCCCTCTGACTTGACAGGTAATCACTGCGCTTAAGCTGCGCATGAGTTAGATTTGTGGTTTCAACAATCTTATATTCTTTTATGTTTTTTTTCTCCAACAGTGGGCCAGTTTTACTTCCTAATCCGGAAAAGAATCCACTTGCGAGCTGAGGATGCTCTCTTCTTCTTTGTAAACAACGTCATTCCACCCACCTCTGCCACCATGGGCCTGTTGTATCAGGCAAGACTCACCACATGTTTTGTGACTCAATGAACACATCTTCATTCTATTGTCCCGTTTAAATTAAATAAACCCATCACATTTTTGAACAACATTTAAACATGTGATTTCTTTCTGTTTTTTTTCTTTTTTTTTCTCCTCAGGAGCATCACGAAGAGGACTTTTTCCTCTACATTGCCTACAGTGATGAGAGCGTGTATGGGAGCAGCCAAAGGGAAATCTGATCTCCTTTCCACCACTTCCCATCTTCCCCGGACCTCCACCATCTATTCATTCATTTAAATATTAAATATTAAATCCAGCTCTGCAGCCTAGACTTCCCAGAATAAACATGTCAGTTGCACTTTCATCTCTACAATACATCACTGCATTCTCAGTGAATGTGTCTTTATTATTCTGCAGTCTGAATTGTATTTCCTCCACTGTTCAATAGCTATTCTAATTCTGTGGCCACTTTGCCAGTTCTTTTTTTTCTAGCGTCATAACTGATTAGTTTGATGGTAGAAAGTGGAAAGGAATGGATCTAATAATCTTAGAATGCAGCTGTTATTGTGGTTGCATCAAGTGTAAAGGAAGGAGGGCGGATTATGTTGATGATAATAGTAACGCCCAGTTTTAGTCAACCTGCTTGGTATAAAGGTGTTCTGAGTTTAGGTTAGGATAAATTTTTTCTGATGGTGTGAAAGGATAAGTTTCCCATCAGCGTTTTAAGTAAGAAATTCTGAAACAGTGAAGTTGTCCTTTAATTCCGCGCGCTAATAAAAATGTGAGAGTATATAATGTACCATCCTGCATCTGATCGTAGGAGTAAGATAGAATTCAGACTACACAATCATCCTCTGCTTTCAGTGGTATGACTGTTTTGTTGGCTGCTTCTATGATTAATGTTGTTAATGTTCATTTTAGGTTGCTTACTTTCTAAAGGTATTGTAAAGCCGAGCGCAATTTCTTCTTTTTTTTTAAAGTTTCTTTTTTTTAATGGAAACAGTTTAAACTCTGTATACGGCTACATTACTGGCTATTTCTCTCCATTACCATACGTGATAAAAATGTAATGAAACTCAATTCTTGTTTCTTTATTGAATTTAATTTGAAAGAAATGGCAGACTTTTAAACCCCGGTTTAGATGTTTCTATATTTACTTGCTGGAGTAATGAGTCCCTCTTCTTGTTTTTTTTCATTTTGGTCTTGATGCCAAGTGGGATGAATGATGGAGGTTAAGCAGGCTCTAAATCTTAACAGCTGTAAGATGTTTTGCTGCAATCTAGTGTTTATCATCCAGACCATACAATAGTAAGTGCTGCACTAATTAGCAGATCTGAGCCAATTGCGAAAGTGAAAGGGTTAGGGTTAGAAAGAACATCTGTTAACTTTGTTGTAGCATTAATATTAAATAATTGCTTTAATCACAATGAATTCTTCACTACTGATCCAGATTTTATCTTAAAAGGGTCTAAACGGAAAAATGAATTCTGACAATGTTCTTGTTGTAAGGCAATAAAAATTGTCTTCATTTAAACCACCATTGTGCTTTGCAGGGAGCATTTAGAGGCCAAGGACCCAGAGTGGCAAAATGTGGGCCAGTGCCACTTAGAACAAACATTTTTTTCTTCGCTTGAGTGTATTTTTCCAAATTTACATTTAAAATAAAGAAACTCCATTATTACAAGTGCTTCATATCAAAATGTATTATAATGGCAAAAATGGTTTCCTTTGGCAGATCATTTCATGTACTGAAATTAAAGGAAAATTCTGTTATTTTGACAAAGTTTTACTCAGGATTGGTTTTTAGTGTAATACTAAATTTCTTATGATAAACTGACCACCCTTTGACCAACTTGATATTTTGTGTTTACGATATACTTTGGCAATTATTTAAAGATTACACCTAGCTTTAAGCTTCAGTTGTATTAAAATAGGAACAACCTTTTCATTTGATAGATCAGGAATCTGCAAACTAGGGTTTGTGGCTTACATTAATATCCTGAACTATACTTTCTTCCCCTGTTTCTTTTTTGGTATTTGATATTTTTGTTATGTATCTATGACCTATGAAAAAAAAGCCCTTCCCCCCCGGTAAATTTAGTTTACAACCACCACTCTCCCTGTTTATATCCAAGAATTTACTCTTAAACCAGAATTTCCACTTGGAGGAGGGCTAATTAGTGAAAGGAAAATGTTGCCTGACTAAAGCAATACCTCTGCTTCTGTCTCCTTGAACCCCAGTCGACCTCGGCAGATGGCCGCTCACACTGAGCCTGGTTCTGCTGGAGGTTTCTTCCTGTTCAAAGGGAGTTTTTCCTCTCCACTGTCGCCAAAGGAATGCCTGATGTGAGGGATTGCCTTCAAGTCAATGAGTCAATACAATCAGCTGGTTTTCCTTAAATAGAAAACTTTGAATCAATTTGACAGGATGATCTGGTTGAATTATAAAGTGCTTTGAGATGACGTGTTGTGAATTGGTGAAGGGAGTTTTTCCACTCCACTATCGCTACAAGTTGGTTGCGAATTGGAACTATATAAATAAACTGAATTGAAATTAAAGCAAAACTGATTGTTAAACACAGCCTTCCTGGTCACACACACATTTGTCTATAAGCCATATATAAGTGAAAGAAAAACACAGAGCGGCATGAATTTTAGGGGGAAAAATATATTTTTGCTCTTATTCATGTGATTTAGGGATATGGTATCTTGGACATTGTGTTATAACTTAAAATTCTATAAGAAAAAAAAACAGACACACACTGAGATGAAACGCTGGTACCAAAGTGGAATGTAATTATTTTCCCAAAATCACTAAATCATTTATACTTGAGGTGTCATATTTGCTGAACAAAAAGAAGTATAGTAAATATAGAATGTTATTCCACCATTAGGTATATTGCAAACTGTCTTATAAGTCTATTTTTGTGATTATGTTTAAAAAAAAAAAAAGTGAAAGTTGCCCAACTAAGATCAACTAAGACATTCAGCTGTGCGTGCACTGCCATACACTTATGGCTCTGTAGGGGGCGCTAAGCGCCACGGTGCCGTTACCAACTGTTTGAAAGAAGAAAAGAAGAAGAAGTGGATTTTATACTATTTCCGCTTTGAAACGCTAAAAACAATTGACATCTAGGTTCTCATCAAACGCATTGCAAAACGACAAAAGTAAGTATTTTTTTTATTATTTTTGTGCTCTTTAAAACTGAGGTCAAATAGATGCGACACTATCAGAGGGGCTACGTAGCTTCGCAGCTAGCTAGCACCTCTACAAAAAATATATTCCCTTTTTCTTTCCGTTGAAGGAAAGCGTCATACATCAAACATACTTATGATACTAATTAAAAGCAATTGGCTGTATTTTAAACGCCCCTCTTTTAATTATGTGCTTTTGTAACTGATTACAACCGGTGCGTGCAGTGTTAGCTTAGCATGTAGCTCATCGCCGCATTTTAGCCAGGCTTTCTGAGCATTTACCAGTTTGTCAGTTTGCCTTTAGCCTCTACCATACATACAATGTCATGTTTGAGTAATGATAATGATAAAAAGAGTATTAGTTAAACTGAACTATTATTAAACCGAACTTTTATTAATGACGAAGTTATTACAAAGTTAACAGTATAGTTCACATTTATAGCTTTTTCTATTACATATTATACCAGGACTGAAATGAAACTCCTTTTGTACTTAAAACTGCCTTATTAGAAGGATATAAATTGCATAGAGAAATTCACATAGTTAGCAACATGATTTTAGAAGAGTATGGAGACACAATAGTCACAGACAGTAAAAAACATTAATAGATACACTAATAAATGGATAAGGATTTACATAATTGATGTGTAGTAGGCATTTATGCAGTTATGATTGCGCATTTCCAATAAAAAATGTGCTGCACCCTATTCTAGGTGGGTGTAATAGTTATAGACAACAGATCCTAACCACTAAACCATTTGGGATGTGTGCTTTTTTTGTCTAATTTCCTCCACAGCTCACCAATGACAAGCCATACTTTTAGTACATCAAAATACAGTAATGTTGTTTTGCTGTATTTACAGCTGGCCCCTCCACTGCCTGTCACCATGCCCGCCCTGCTGGAGAGACCCAAGCTGTCCAATGCGATGGCCAGAGCCCTGCACAAGCATATTATGAGGGAGAGGGAGCGCAAGAGACAAGGTAAAAATAAATTAGTATGGAGCTATGCTGGTTGGAGAACCATTGCAGAACCAAAAGTTGCAACAACATGTCAGATGACTGGAGAAGCGTCTACTGAAAAGTGCACATGGAGCATTCACTGAAACAATTAAGCCAGGATTGTAAGCATTGAAGAAAGTTGATATATGTATTGTAGAAGGAACCTTCCTGTAAAATAGGTCAATACTTTCTCATTCCAAAACCCTTTTAAATACTTGTCTCAACAGCAATATGGGATTTCTGAAGCTTTGACTGCAGTCTTTACATGTACGAATTAAGACCTTTATTTGGCTGGTTTCAAAACCAGTTAAATTTTGTGCTGGACCCTTCCTATTAGAGATCGATAGACATGGGGTTGTATTTTCTTTTTTTTAAGGTCGATAATTATTTTTTCATTGGTCTAGCCAAGGAGTCTGAAACCTTTACAATCCAAAGTGCCATTTTTATATTCAGTCCATTATTTGACCTTAAAAAAAAAAAAAAAATATATATATATATAGATATATATATATATATATATATATATATATATATATATATATATATGTATACCATAGTGTTGCTAAACATAGAATAGAATAGAAAATTCATTTATTGTCCCACAGTGGGGAAATTGTGGTGTTTACGGCAGCAAAGGTTATTGTAGAAGTGGTCACACAACGTGCACCCTAGAAAAATGACAGATAGGAAAATAAAACAGAGTATAGTACTGTACGTTGTTTTTACATTATAATAACCTCTATCTGGAGAATAAAAATCAGTTACAGCTGTGCATGTTTTTACAGTAATGGATATATGGAAAGTAGCAGTAACACCAGAGAAAAAAAGAGAATGAAATGACAGCAGCATGTTATTTAACTGACTAACACAGAAACTGTGCAAAAATCAGCATGAATGTAACAACTTCTTGAGGTTGTTGGGAAAATTGATGGTTATAAAGTCTTCCAGCTGCTGGGAGGAAGGATCTGTGATAATGCTCTCTGGTGCATTTAGGGTGCAGCAGTCTGTCACTGAAGGAGCTTTTCAGTTCAGCAACAGCTTCTTGCGTGAGGTGGGAGACATTATCCTACAGGGATGTTACTTTAGTAAGGGTCCTTTTGTTTCCCACCTTCTGCACTGAGTCGATGGCAACCAATCACAGAGCTGGCCTTCCTGATCAGCTTATCCAGCTGCTTTCTCTCAGCTACAGATAAGCCACTGCACCAACAGCCAGCTCTATAGAAGATGGCTGATGCCACAACAGAGTCATAGAAGGTCTTCAGTAGTGCCCCTCACTCCAACAGACCAAAGTCTCCTCAGCAGGAAGAGTCTGCTCTGCTTTTCTTATACAGAACCTCATTGTGTTGAGTTCATTCCAGTTTGTTATTCAGATGAACACCTAGGTACTTATAAGAGTCCACTGTCTCAATGTCCATTCCCTGGATGTTCAGTGGTGTCAGTGGGATGGATCTGCCTCTGCGGAAGTCCACCACTAGCTCCTTGGTTTTTCATGCATTATTCAGGAAGAAAATTTACACAAGTCTCAATATCTAATAAAGATTTGTCTTTTTATTTTTACAATTGCATTGGTATTTCAAATTTTAGATTTAAGATAAAGGTTAAAAACCTACAATAAGAGAATAAATACATTTATACTGGGTCGATTACATTTTTGGAAACATTTTTACAATAAATAAATTATAAATAGAAAAAAACAAAAAGCATTTTTCCTACTTAAAAAAAAAAGATCTGAAAGTATATTTTGACTGAGTCAGTTTATTTTGGAACTTTAACAAAATTTGAAAATCCTAACCCGCTTTAGTTAGTATATCTGTTTTCCAAAGATTAGCTGGCTCTTCATCATTTTTAGCTAAAGTGAAGAAGAAAATTAAACAAGTCTCAATTTAAACAAAAATATGAAGGAGTAGTTATATCAAAATTGTAAGAAAATATAAAAACATTTTGCACTTAAGATTTAAAAAATAAAAAAAATTTTTAAATCACATTTTACCATTCTATCAACAATTAATACAGTATTTTAAATATTTTCTCACCGGTATAAGCAAACATCAGTATTTTTAGCCACAATTATGTAAGGCAATACAATACAATACAATAAGCAGTGGTGATTATATCGGTTATAAAAAAAAAAAGTAATCCGTGAAGGGTTCACTTTGCACAAGAGGTTTTTATTGTAATGATTCTGAAATTGTTCTATTTTTCAGAGGAAGAGGAGGTTGACAAAATGATGGAGCAGAAGCTGAAGGAAGAGGAGGAGAGGAAGAGGACAAAGGAGATTGAGGAGAGGATGTCTTTAGAGGAAACCAAGGAACAGGTGCGTTATCTTTGATGTCTTCTCTCTGGTTATATATGTATTTATTTTTTGCGGGCCAAGCTCCAAAAGATCTTGTAAAATGAATATGTTGTTATTTTCTTTTAACATCAGGTGATGAAGATGGAGGAGAAACTTCAGGGACTCCAAGAAGAGAAACACCAGCTTTTTTTACAGCTAAAGAAAGTTCTCCATGAGGAAGAAAAGAGACGCAGGAAGGAGCAGAGGTATCCTCTATTTGGGATGATTCATTCTAGCCTTAAGGTCTGTGCTTCACCAGCTTCTGATTTTCTTCTTCAGTGACATCACAACGTTGACCTCAGCCAGCTACCAGCCCAGTCTGTCCATGCATGCAGGACAGCACCTCCTCAGTATTCCAGGTGAGATNCCTCATTGTGTTGAGTTCATTCCAGTTTGTTATTCAGATGAACACCTAGGTACTTATAAGAGTCCACTATCTCAATGTCCATTCCCTGGATGTTCAGTGGTGTCAGTGGGGTGGATCTGCTTCTGCGGAAGTCCACCACTAGCTCCTTGGTTTCCCTGCATTATTCAAGAAGAAAACTTACACAATTCTCAATATCTACTAAAGATTTATGTTTTTTTATTTTTATAATTGCATTGGTATTTTACATTTTAGATTTAAAATAAGGTAAAAACCTACAATAAGAGAATAAATACATTTATACTGGGTCGATTACATTTTTGGAAACCCTTGTAAAATAAATAAATGATAAATAGAAAAAAAAAAAAAAAAAAAAAAGCATTTTTCCTACTTAAAAGAAGATCTACAAGTATATTTTGACTGAGTCAGTTTATTTTGGAACTTCAACAAAATTTGTTACAAACAAAATTAATCCAAAGATTAGCTGGCTCTTCATCATTTTTAGCAAAAGTGATAAAGAAAGTTACACAAGTCTCAAGTTAAACCAATATGAACCTGTATTAACAAATGAAAGGAAATTTTAACAATGGATCGCAAATGGAAAAAGTGGCAACTAATGCGTTTTTATATGATACCAAGGCATGGATCCTGAATGCGCTAATTAATTTGTTAGTGAATGAAAGCAAGAAAAAAATCGCTACTTCCTACAGGTTTCCTTTATTTTATTTGTTTATTAGAGGCTGTAGAATTTTTAGGTGAGTTTTTCTGACTGTATGAAGCTGAATAAGTGTTCAGCTGTTTAACCATTTGGCTGTTTTCATTTTTTTCCATGAATAAAATCTTCCCAGTGAAGAAAAGTTGAAGAAATTTTTTTTTTTTTTACCTTATTTTCAATTATTTCCAACTTTATATTTTTATTTTTTGAGCCTAAAAATGAATTTCAATTTTCTTTTTAATTAAGTCTTTAAATCCTGTCTATCAAATGTTATTTAGGCTTCTAAATATATGTGAACTTGTTAAAGGATTATAGTAGGGCTGAAAAATGTGATCGGATTAGTTGATTATTGAAATAATCATCAGCTAATTTACTAATCAATTAATTGTTAACCGGACTCTAAAACATGCCTTTAGCTGACAGAGTGACCCACTTAGAGCAGTAGTTATATCAAAATTGTAATAAAATATAAAAACATTTTGCATTTCAGATAAAAAAATAAACTATGTCTGTCAATATGCTCTATCCAGAACTCCTCAACTGGAAAAGTTTTAGTTTCACCTGATTTCGTTTAATAAAAAATCTCCTTTAAGGAACCTTTGGCTATTCGGTTATTATTCGCCTAATAAAAAATAGATAAATGGACAGAATAATCGATTTGCAAAATATTCGTTAGTTGCAGCCCTAGATTATAGACTGTTAAAACAACCTGTTTTAGCTGAAGCACATTTGAAATTTGAGTCAGCTCTTGAGTTGAAAAAGCTTTTAATTTTTTATTTATTTATTTTTTATAAAAAAAATTATGTAGATAAAATGAAGCGATTTGTGTCAATGTGTATCAATATTCTTAAATGTACCTTTAATTACATTTGAATTCATTTTGTTATAAAACTACAAAAAAAAATCAGTACCATTCGGAATATTTTTGCATCTCCAAAGAGTAGAAGTACAGGTCTGAGTTTAACTCACCCCGGATATTAGCTTTCTGCTAACATTCTCCTTCGTTATAAACACGTTTTACCATTCTATCAACAATTAGTACAGTATTTTATATATTTCTCACCAGTAAAAGGCAAACATCAGCATTTTTAGTAAGGTGTTTTTATAAGCAGTGCTGATTATATTGGTTATAAAAAAAAAAGTAATCCATGAAGGGTTCACTTTGCACAAGAGGTTTTTATTGTAATGATT